CCACCCACCACCACCACCACGACGACGACGACTACTACTACTACTACTGCTACTGCTACTGCTCGTCGAGTCTGAGGTATATGGTATCTGTAGAGCTTCAGCTGTGAGCAGCCCCCCCCCCTCCCCCCTTGCCGCCAGAAGAGCATCCCGAAGCTTTCTTCAGGTGTACTTGCAGGATCAAGGGACTTCGTAACTAGGGTTATAAATCAGGTAACACTAATTATAACCCCCAATTAGGGTACTTATAACCTTACTTACTAAGTCCCGTGATCCTCCAAGCAGGGAAGACAGAACCTGAGAACTGCGACACTTCAATGCCGCCCGAACTGCCAGAGTCTCCCAGGCGCCGCACCCAGCGAGGTACCAGGGGCACGGGGCCCCAGGTAGCCATTTATACATATGTATAATATACATACATACACACACACACAAAACTCGTAATAAATTATATATATATATATGTACACACATACATACATACATACATACATACATACGTACGTACGTACGTACGTACATACATACATACATACATACATACATACATACACACATACACAATACATATAAAAATAGGTATATGACTGTTAGATCCCTGTTTTGTTCTGCTGCGTTTTGTGAAATTGGTGTTGCTTAGTTCTTCAATGAAGTTGCCGGCTCTGGGATTCCCGTTCCGATCCCTAAAGCCTTAAAGCTTCAAGCGCCCAAAAAATAACAGGAACCGTAACAACAAGAATAATCATAATAAGAATAGCAGTAGTAATGGTAAAAGTCCGGCCCGCACCTCAAGTCAAGCCCAAGATCCTAGACCAAGCCGACCACCCTGCAAGCCAGAAACGTAGTCTGCGACTGCTGCCGTTCCTTGCGACCGCTACGGCTACTGCTTCTACTTAGACTACGACTTCTACTTCTGCTACGACTAGTACTCCTGCTGCTGCTTCTGCTGCTATGACGTCGGTTGTGACTACAACTACAGCGACGGCAACGAGTATGGGGGCGACAAGGATTGTAACAACTACGACTACGGAAGCTACTGATGACTCCAGTGCTCGCGCTATACGTTGCAATCAAGGCATTCTTACCACGTATCACATTGTATCTTGTCGGCCTATGATTGTCATGCCATGTGATCAAGCGGCCTCTGAATTGAAGACTTATCACAGGACTTTAGGGGGGTAAGGGGGACTTATTACAGGTATTAAGGCCCCCTACCCCTAACCCCCCTCCCCCCTACCTCACCCCCCTCCCAACTACCCCCCGAAGAGTCCTGTTGAACTTACAAACCCTAAAACCCTAAACCCTAAACCCTAAACCCTAAAACCCTAAAACCCTAAAACCCTAAAGCCCTAAACCTTAAATTAGGTGGAGGCCGAGAGAACAGCGCGAAATCCTCCCGGAGTTTGAATCGCGAGAAGCAGAAGGCCTCCCCCAAACCCTGCCAAAAGCTGCTTGGAGGTGCAAGGGACTTGGGGTTTAGGGTTTAGGGTTTGGGTTTAGGGTTTAGGGTTTAGGGTTCAGGGTTTTACGGTTTAGGGTTTGGGTTTTATGCACCGTGCTTAGGGTTTTACGTGGAGATAGCTATAGGTACCTTACTTGTAACCCTACGTACCAAGACCGCCTGATCCTGCAATCGCACAGGTTTGTTGGCTTTGCTACACGGAAAGGATCTGGGTACTGAGTAAGTAGGGTCACAAGCACCTCACTTGGGGTTGTACGTATCTATAGCTTGTGTCACTTTCCGGAGTCCGCTAATCCTGCAAGTGTTGTGTATAAGGTTTCTGCACGGTTTGTTCCTGCCGTACATTCCCAGACAGAGCAGAAGTGAAGGGCATTGCTGCATGCGGAGAGCCAGCTTCATGTGGAACATGCTAGGCGCGGTGTCGTGGGACCAATAGGTTTGCATAACA